GAATGCCTCTGCAAGGTCAATGAGACAAGCAAACATCTTTCTGGTATTCTCTGCTTACCGCCAGAACTCATCTGACATCAGCAATGATATCCCTTGCTCCCCATCCTCTTCTGAATCTGGCTTAAATTGCTGACGAACCAAACTCCCTGGAAGCGGACAGTCGATTCTGAACTATAACGACCCTACAGGACAGCATAGAACTGACCCTTTGGATCTGTGGACATTGGTATTCCACCAATTCCTGGAGCTTTGTTTTTGCCAGTGCTTTCAGTCCAGCTTGGACACCTTTCTTCAACACCATCAATTCTTAAACACATGCTGCCTCTCAAAATGGTTGGATGTCCACCCATTCTTTTTGGTACATGGGCTGTGTATTTCTCCCACCTTCTTTTGATGCTTTCTGAATCAGTCATTATCTGCCCATAGAACCAACCCTTCAACATGGGAACTCCAGGCTTGATGGTGTCCGTTCTTTTGACTCATAAAATGCTGTGTTCTTCCTTCCCGGCTTTCTAACGTGACGTGTTCATGCATTTCAAGACAACACTCTTCTTCCTCATCCCCTATGGCCCTGAGAGCCTTTCTGTTCAGCTCTTTGACTTGATTTCCCCCATGAAATGTCGCTCCTCTACATTCAAGAGTATCACCCACAGCAAGCTTACAGAGGAAGAGTCAAATCAGGTGGACATGCCTGATTGCACAGCTCCTAATTCGATCTACCTTGACACTCTTCATCCATCCCAATGTTGGTTACTGATAATCTCCTGCCTGCCAGGCCTGCCTCAGGTGATGGGGATTCGGCCATAAAGAAAGGGGCACATTGCGCTCTTGGAATTTACAGTTCCAACACCAGACAAATAAGGATTCAACTTAATGTGTATCATATGAATGAGCATGAGTACCACAAAGGAGCACTCAGAGTGCATTCAGAGATGTGAACAGAAAAAGACCGACGCAGCCGGACTCCCAGGCCACTGGCAATACGAAAGAGCCACTGGCCGGATGCGCCTGAGGACGACCAAGCAAGCACTGCCTGTCATAGCGGGACATCGAGCGTAGCATCGCTGGCCTGCGGATGAGTCTTCAGGGAAGACACTAGTATGTCTGAAAGTCCTGCCGAAATGGAAGTCCTTCCCTTAATTCATTCACCTACCCGGACCTCAGGAGCACCTCACTCCTGAACACAGAGCATTTGACAGTTTGCTGGGATCCTTCATACAGATCCACTCACTGGAACCTCACAGCAGCCCCAAGGAGAGGGCAGGCAGGCTGGTGTATTACCCGACTTGGAAGTCAGGAAAGCCAGTCTAGCCAGGTGAAGTGACTTAACCAAGAACGGCCAACTAGGAAAGCACCAGATCTGCCATCCAAGTCTCCCTAGAGGCACCTCGGGCCAGGAAACCATCCATCTCACGTTCCACAGCCTCAGGTCACTGAGCCTGGCTAATGACACCCAGAAGCCGCATGAAGTTCCTGAGACCAATAATCAGGGACATTGAGCAGCTTGGGAACGGTTTCTAGAATGCTGCTCCAGCAGCCTGGAGACACAGGTACCCTTGCCAGCTCTCCCAGATTAGAACAGGTTCTCTTGGCCTCTCTCCAAGTGCTTCTGACTAATAGAGAAAAGTACTTTTCCATCGCAAACACTGCAGGCAGGCACCAGACTCCTGAGGGGGCAGGGCAGAGCAGAGCCCGAATCCCTGATTCCCATGCAAACTGTAAGGGGATGCTGATGGAGGAGAACGGCCCCTGCTAACCACCCACCACCGGGCATGTCAGTCTTGAGCAGTGTGCCTCGATTCTGACACTGTTGACATTTGGGGATGCCTAATTCTTTGTTGGGGGTCGATGGTGGCCCTTGCAGTGTAGGATGCTAAGCAACATCCCCCAGGTGTGACAACCAAAAATGCCTCCCAACCCTGCAAACGTCCCCTGGGGGACCATATCACATTCACCGGTCTAGGGTTGCTGCCTACGGGGAAAGAAATGTCTTCTTCCTTTCTGTCACCCTCTTCCATCCCATCGCCTCCCATCTCTCCTGGCCAAATTGGACTTGATTCATCAAGAGGAGCCCTGTGGTATAGTGGTTACGAGTTGGGCTGCGATCTGCAAGTCAGCAGTTCAAAACCACCACCAGCAGCTCCCAGGAAGAAAGGCAGCTTGCTATTCCCATAAAGAGTTCGACTCGCAGAAACTCACATGAGCAGTTAGACTCCAGCCCCAGAGGGTCTCTGTGAGTCAGCATCAACTCGATGGCAAGGAGGGTTATTCAGTTTGGGTTTGGATTCATCAGCGTCACATACTGAATGCTTCCCAGGAGAGGAAGCACGCGTGTTGGATGTAGTCCTGGTGTAGGTCCCAGGAACACTTCATCACTGGAGTTGTGAAAACGAGAGTCAAGTAATGCCTTGTTCCATTAATGAGCTGTTTGTGACCCCGCTGGGAATTCTTGTTCCCATGAATGCGAGCAGCGGAGGCTGATTAAACTGGAAGCCCTTCGAGTTTCTGCTTGGTGGCACTGGGCCAGGACAGGGGCTTCCACTGCTGCTAGGAAGAGCACAAAGACGGGGAATCAAATAAACAGCAGGGCGCTCCCATTTACCCAGAGACGACCAGGGCCCTCCATCAGCCCCGCTCTGAACAGTTCAGGACTTGGGAGAATGAGGGAAGTGACGAAGAACACAAACGAGAGAACTGAGTGAACACATTAATTAGACAGCCAAAACGTTACCCAAAACGCTCGCTCTCCCGAGGGGGTGGCGACCTGAAGTTGAGCTCCACAGCAGCTGGGTGACTCACACAGTGCCAGGAGTGTGGGCTCCAAACTCCCACCCCTAGAGCTGGGCTGCTGGCCCAGCCGTGAGCATCTGCGTGCGCTACAATGCTCCGAAGCAAAAGTCCCTGTAACAGCCTCTTGATGTCTTTCATTAACCAGCTCCATAACTAGTTAAAGGATGGACCGACAGACTCACCCAAGCTCATTGCCATTTGTAAGCATATTGTACTGCACTGCAATTTTGTGAAGACTAACCACAAAACGCCTGCCTGGTAATGCCCAATGACACAGACTACTGCATACAGTGTACCAAAATACTCTCTTCTTCACCTGTTTCTGGGTGAATGAAATACACTGTGCATGCAAGATTACTTTTCCAAAGTATTGGTCGGTCTGCCTTGGTAAGATACGCTACTACGTTGACTGGAGCTAGCACTTCGCAGGCAGGCCAACGTGAGTTTGAACCTCATCCACCACGTCTTCCACAGTGGCCTTGGGACCCTTGTTGAAACTCCGAGCCTTGGTTTCCCTTGCCAATAAAGCACGGATAAACCTGCTCACTTCCTGGAAGATTAAATGATTTAGCACATAAAGTATCAAAGAGCCAATACTGGCACACGATGCTCAACACAAGTTGTCCTGACTTGATTTTCAATCAACAGATGGCCAGGGGGAGGGGTGGCAGCGCCGAGGACGAGAGTCTGCATCACAAAAATTAAACAACTGTATTATGTTGACATGACTCAAGTGAAACCAGACCAATAAAACAGTGCCTAGTTGCATTTAAAGGGCCCTCATAAAAATGCAGAAATAACGTGCCATAACAAAAGAAAATAATTTGTTCACAGATGTTTGAAAAGTACCCTCAAGTTGTTTATCCAGACCCTGACTTTATTTAGTAATAATTTGTGTACAACGACTTTGCAAACAAACACAGCTCATTTCTAAAAAAAAAAAAAGTGAGAGAGAGAAAGAGAGAAAGAGAGACCTATAACTATGTTTTGAAGGGTAGGGGATCCCAGGTCAGTGTTTCTCCAGCTTTCCTGCATGAAGGAAAAACCGAGTGAGCTTCTGATAGTGCTGTTCTGATTCCGAAGGTCCAGGCTAGTAGGGACCTGAGTGAAGCCAATGGAGCTGGTCCAGAGACAATTATGAGTAGCAAGGTCCTAGGATGCCCTCTTCACCTTATGACATCTGGCAAATTCTATTCCACCTTCAAAGCCACTCCAGATTCAACATACATCTTCTGAAAATCCTTCCCTAACCACACTCTCCACAGTTGCTATGCTACCCCTGAACTTTGCACTTAGCTCTACTATTACAGATCTACTATTGGAGTGCAGTGGACTTTAATTAGAAACCTGTCTCCCAAGGACAGTGGCTCTGTAAAGGCAGGGATTGTCTCAAGCATGGGGCCTTACCACATCAAGAGATCTTCGCTACTTGTTCGGGTGGACGGATACTTATTTATCTTTGTGTTCTTCGACGTTAGCTCTAGCTACACATTCTAGCTAGAAGACACAGCCCACGTCTTCTCTCTGTTACTCCAAGTCTTAACATGTGCTCAAGAAGCACTCACTGACTGTGAGTCCAGAGAAACTGGAAACTTCTATCATGAACCAGAGGCTTCCCCCACTGAGCTCTGGTGTCATGGCCAGTCATGTGTAGACTCTATGAAATGGAAACAATTGACACAGGAAAATGGAAGCTTCTCGATGAATTAGCGGGGATAAAGACGTGAGCAAGGCCAATATGGTGCTTTCCCTCATTGAGTGAGAGGTTGGGAAGAAACGGCGGTCAATGAATGCTTCGTTTGGGGTACCAGGCCATCTAGAATCCAAAACAACGTTCCTGCCTCAGCCTGGAAACCTTTGACATTTTCCAGGGCTTTCCACTTAGACGCGAGTGGAAATGCAAATCGTCCATCTCTTCAGCTGTGACCAGGCAAAGGCTCTCCATCAACTGAAAACAGAGTGATGTTTGCTGCACTGGGCTCCTCAAAGCCTCTGGGGCTCCGAGGACCAGGAGTTAACCTAAGGCCAGCTTGCCTTTGTTGGCTGTGTTAACAGTGCTGCCTGACTGCAGAGCAAGACCGTTTCCAGTCCTTATAACTGTCATCAAAAAAAAATTATAATTGATATCCTTAATCCCAAGCACCCATGACTGTTTAGACAGCTGCCCCCAGCTACTCTTACCAAACACAAATTTTCGGTTGCTCTCTCACCTGTCTGGGCGGCCAGGTGTGTCCACCCACTCCAGACGGCAGTGACCTTTTCATTCTGAAAACAGCGTCCTTCTATCTTCCGGGGTACAGGAAGGAAAGCATCCTGGGTTGCCAGTTGCCCATGTTTGTTGCTCCCCCAAACATACAGCTCTCCTGCATCTTAAATCAACACAAGGGGAACAGAGGAGGTAGAGGAACGTCAGTTCTCGGCGATGGGCAGGAGCACAAGTCTGGGAGAGAAGTGATTAAAAGAAGTTTTCTACTCAGGCTGCCAGGCACGGTGGTGAGCGGGTCAAGGAAAGACACAAAACTCACGTGCAGTGACAGTACGATGTTTCTGAAATCCTATCTAGAGGGAACAAGGCCAAAGTGTTCTCAGCAATTCGTTAAGAAATGGGAATGTGTAACCTTTTTCATGGACTCATTTAGCAATTGTTTATTCAACATCTGCCATGGGCAGCAAGGCATGTCAGTTTGTGACTCCGTGTGTTTTTCCCTTGTTTCTAAAAATTTTTTTAAAACTATGTGTTTGCAAAAGTAGATTAACTTTTTAAGGTAACAGGTTAAAAGACACATCATACAAACATTAGCTTTTTAAACCTAAGATTATGTAAGGAAGCTCCAAAAAGTTTGTGGGGAGATGGAATCAAAAGATAATGAAGGAGAGGGAAGGAAGATGGCTGTCAGATAGCAACATGGGAGGGGCTGGAAGAGCCATCAGAGAAGGGTCACAGAGAGGGGTCACGGTGTGTGAATTGTCTATCAATACAACTATTGGGGGAGATAAGGGAATTTTCCCACAAACTTTCAGAAGCCCCCTTATGTTTCACTACATGCACACCCTACCCATCAAAACACTAGAATGCCATCTGTGTTGACATGAAACATCGTAATAGGGCTCTTCTGTGCATGTCTCTGTAACTCCCACCAAATAATTGGGTGTGACTGTGCAAATCGAGTGTGTAAAGCCCTAAAAGAGGGGACTGGTCAGTCTGGGTTGCCATCCCCCAGTATATGAGAACCTTTTCAGAAGCAGGAACAGAGAGACTTTCCAGGGCCATCAGAGAAGAAGAGCCATCAGTGGAACACGTTTGAAGTCCCTACGTGAAGTGGTGGGAGCGGAAGAAGCCACGTCACACTGCGACCAGAGACCGTGAGACAGAGCACAGGAGCAGTGCCAAGATTCTGAGTGTGTGAGGCAGAGCAGCAGGCAGGTTTCCTGACCCACGGAAACCAGAGGCCACAGGGCCATGGGCCTGAGAGGCGGGAGACACGAGAGATAGAGAGACTTGGCTGCCGGCTGGAGAGGTACTGCTGTGCACCAAAGACTAGATCTTTAATGTTTTCTGAGACCGACTTTTGGCAAACTGCTAACCTTTCAAAATCCTGAGTGTTGTCTATGAGTTGTGTGTGGCCATTGCAACGAATTAAGAAACCCCGAGCAATAGAGTACCGTGGGAGGAACAGCTGGTGCCAGAATAGGGTAAAGGAAGATGGAGGTTGGAGACATGTCTGACTTCTGCCTTGTGGTAATAATTGGCCTGGGGCTGGTATGGATTCTCCTTGTCTCCTGTGTAGCTAGAGGAGGTCAGAGGTGGCCTCTGTGCTATTTGGGCACATTACGTCGTCATATCTGTGTAACACTTGAGCTCACTTGAGTCTCATAACCACGTGTGCTATGGAAGCCAAGATGCAATTGACTGGCACTGTGATTTAATAGGAAGAGAACAGATTCCGAATCAAATGACTCTGGCTTCTATTCCTGGATCTGGTAAGAAACCTTGAACAAATCACTTCCTTCCTCTCGAAGCCTTGGTTTTGCCAGCTGAAGGAGGATGGGTGGTCTGGAAGGGCACACACTGTAAGTGATGGCACTGGTTACAAGGCAGGTGGGTGACTATGGAAACCAAAATGCACATCCCTCGCTAAGCAGCATTCACATTTGTCTTTTTTTTTAACCTGAAAGCCGTACAAAGTGAGGCTGTGGGCTACAATTCGGTCTCTGGGTGGTCATTTTGTGACTCCGTGTGTGATCTCTAGGAGTTTCTCTGACTCTAACATTTTAAGGTTCTACAACTGTGCGATCCTATACAGTAGCCACTAACTACTGGGCAAACCGTTTCAAATAAATTAGAAATAGATCAATTTCAAATACATATTAAGGTTCTACAACGATGAAGTTCAGTATAGTAGCCATTAGGCACTGCACCAACTTTTTTTTTTTTTACCAACTATTTCAAATGAATTAGAAAAACGTCAAAACAGTTCCATGTGTGATTGATCAAAACAATCTCAGCGCTCTCATCTCCAACCTTCCCACAGTGTCAGGACAGCCTGGGGCAGGGGAGTGGAGAGGGAGGAAGCCTTGAAAGTGAAGTGTAAGCTTCACTTTCCAGAAAAGTCTTCATTGCCTCCCAAGGGAAAGTCACTGTGGCTGAGTGTGTCGGATGGAGGAATATACAGAGGGATAAAATGAGAGGGGGAAACAGATAAGGCAGAAAGACAGATCAAAGAGATCAGGTAGATAGGTTAGACTACTACTCATTTAAAATAGATTAAAGAAATATATACGTAACTAGATTTAGAAAGCTATATAGCTATAGATAGATGAGGTTTAAAAGATACCTAGGATTTTAAAAAATGAAAGAAAACATGGAACTAGAAATAAAATATATCCATAAATTTTTTAAAAAGATACCTAGATAAATAAGTAAGCTATAATGGGGCCTTTTAGGCTAATCAAAAAACAAAGAGACAAACAGATTAGAGAGATGAATAAAATCATTTAGATTGAGATTAAACAGCAGGAGAGCCTAGGTATATTAGACACCTACATTGATTAAATAAATATGAAGATGGTATACATGGTGCAAAAATTCCATTTACTTCCATTTTTCCACTAATTTTTTGGAAGGGCCTCATTGATACTTACTGTCGGTTACATGACTTTTACTGAGAGGGACACACAAACAGAGGGATAAAATGAGAGCAAGAAACAGACAAGGCAGAAAGGCCTGAGAGGAAAACAGTTTGTCACCATGTACAGATGAAAACAACACACTCGGAGGCACCAGAAGTGAAGCTAGGCTTGACCCGAGTGTCTTACACACACACAACCTCAGAGCTACTCACAAAGCACAGGTACTGGGCACAGGAGGGTGGTCCCAGAGGTGAAGTACTTGGCCTGAGGTCACAGCAATGGCAGAGCCAAAGGCTAGGACCACCCCTTTATATCACAAGATCAGCGGGTTAGCCGGTCAGGTTCAGAATGCCGTTTGGCAAGTGAAACGGAAAGAGGTGGTACCTACCTGTTAATGAAGCCGAGTGACATGAGCCAGCAAGAACACATCTTACTTTAGAATTCTCTAGGCCTACCAAGAAAGAGAAAAATATTTTTATTTTTCAATTACATTTATAGCAGAATAAGTTGGACAGAAGAGGGGTCCGGGAAGAAACTCTGGGCCAGACTGACGTCAACAGCATGTAGCCAAGACAACAGCTAGCATGGCTGGGAGACCAGGTGTACACAAGGGGCCTGGGCAAATATGTGAATATACAGATGATAAAGATACTCCTTCTCAGTATCAGAGAGGAGAAATACACCTATGAAAGGGGAAGGGCCAGAATCAAACATGTACTAGTGGATTTTGATTTGGAGATATCAGGATTCAGGCCTAGCTTCTAACACAGGCAGATAAACACGCAGAGATGTATGCATGTATAAGTATTGGTGTCATGTGGGTGAGACATCGGGCCACTAACCACAGGGTCAGTGATTCAAGCCACCAGAGCCACTCCTAAGAAGAAACACGAGGCTGTCTGCTCCCATAAGGATCCCTAGTCTCAGAAACCCTATGGCAGGCGGGGGATTGTTGTTTTTAACTTTTTATTGTGAATTAGGTTGGCATTTACATATCAGATCACCATATTTGCTTTCAACAACTTATCAAATCTCCTATAACTTGCCCCATTTCTGCTTCTCCCCTGCTTGCCCCACGTGTGCCCCTATCTCCCTCGTGTACGACATGATCTTCCCCTTCACCCAAGTTTCACACCTTCCCTCCTTTCCCCCTCCTACCCCTGCTAAGCAGCAAAGTCTGGCTTTGGCTTTGTTCTTAGCATGAAAACCTTTATCTCGATTTTTTTCCCCTAACAGTGGTTATGTAGCGTATTGGTCCTTTTGTGGTTGGAAGTTTGGGTAACCTGTGAAGAAGCACAGTCTTGCTTTGTAACTCGCCGTGAGGAATGAGCGAGAAACAGCCACCATCAGAGAGGAAGTCCGGCCTCTAGTGGCCAGATGAGGAAAGACTAACCAGCAATCATTCCAGATGGGGTGACAAGGAGAGAATGACAAGTGGAAAGACTCCCCCAAATCAATGCTGAATCCCACTGTCTCCAGAGCAGGCCCCTCCCACAAGAGACTATTTAAATCAACTCAAATAAATAACATTTTTTATTCCTTCTGGTTACAGGTCCTGCACTAAAACAGAGACTAGAATAATACGCAGGTCCTGCCCCTTTTAGACAGTCATCATCTCTGGCATGTGGGAAAATGCATCAACAAGAATAATGCACCAAGTGCCCCCCAAGCACCTGGAGAAAGCCCAGTGGCAGCTAGGAGGAGGAAGTCTTGCCTGAGGAAGCTGGCTCGAGCAAGGCCTTGACAAGCCCTCAGGGCCTCTCCGGGAGGGGAGGAAGGAAAAGGCATTTCAGGCCGAGGGCACAGTTTGCACACAGTAAGGAGAACTCCGGACGAACCCAGGAAGCAGGACATTGGTTAGGCACGCAGGAGTCTTGGAGTCAGGTGATACGGACCGCCTGAGGAATACCCTCCTGACGCCACCCACGGGCTTCGGGGAAGCTAGTCCCGCCTTCAGCTGAGAAGAGCACCCTCCGAACAGTCAGTGAGCCCACCAGCTTAGACATCACGCCCATGGTGCCCTACACTTCCCTTTCCACCTCCACTTGCACCTTGCTCCAAGCACACGCCCGGGGAGTCGATTCTGAGCCGACAGGGCAGACGGGAGCTGTCCGGCACCGTTTCCACAGTTGCAGATCTTTAGGGACGTAGATTGTCACATCTTTCTCCGGCGGCGTGGACGGTGGGTTCAAATGGCAGACTTTAAATACTGCTTTAAATGCTGTGCCCCCAGCCCTCCCCCACGACTCTCTACGGCCCCTCCTTTGTTCCGAGCTACAGGAGTGCTCAGACAGAGGTCTCCTGAGCCGGTTTTCTTACAGGCAGTCCTCCGTCGCCCAGGCCACAAAGTACAGGAGTGAGAGGAAGAAGAGGACCATGGAGCGCAGAATAGAGCAGAGGGGAGCTGACACAGACAGAGAGCAGGAGAGAGGCGGTGAGGCTGAGTGCAAGTGAGAGAGAGCTTGGCAGACCAACCACCAACCCAAGATCAGCCAACAGACCTGCTGCACAAAACACTCGCTAACTGCTCCGCAGACGGCCTGGCAGAGCCCGCCTGGCCCCTCTCTACATCCTCTTCCCAAGTCTGCTTCCCTTTGGGGAGAAGCAACTGCGAGTACAAGGCACAGTCCTTCCGGCTCCTCACTCTGGCATGTACCTGCCTGCAGAGAGCAAGCTGAGAGGGCAGAGGGTACGTCCTCCAGCACAGGTAGGTTAAGTTTACTGTGGGACACAAAATTTAGAAACTGACCACTGCTCCATGCCCTCTCCACACACCTAAGCCAGACCCTCCAACCTAGCTACTCTTCTGAGCTCCACTGACCTGAGTTCTATCGATCTCACAGTGGGTTCCAAACTCCGGCAGCAATGAAAGATGGGTTGATTGTTGTTGTCATTAGTGCCATTGAGTTTGTTCGGATTCATAGCAATCCTATGCCGGTCCTGCAGCATCCTTACGACTGTTATGTCGGAGCCTGCCACCACTGTGCCCATCCCCTCCTCGAGGGTCTTCCTCTTTATCACTGCTACCCTACTTTACCACGCAGGATGTCTCTTTCCAGGGACTGGTCTCCCCTGATAACATTCTACTTTTAAGAAAAAAAACAAACTCACTGCCATCGAGTGATGCTGACTCATACCAACCCTATAGGACAGGGTAGAACTGCCCCGGTGGGTTTCCAAGACGGTCTTTTTTTTTTTTTTAATCTATTTATTGGGGGCTTGTACAACTCTTATCACAATCCAGCCATACATTCATTATGTCAAGCATATCTGTACTTTTGTTACCATCATCATTCTCAAAACATTTTCTTTCTACTTGAGCCCTTAGTATCAGCTTATTGTTTCCTCTCCCTCCCTCGCTCCCTCCCTCAGAATCCTTGATAATTTATAAATTATTATTTTTTTCATGTCTTACACTGTCCAATGTGTCCCTTCACCCACTTTTCTGTTGTCCATCCCCCAGGGAGGGAGTTATATGTAGATCATTGTGATTGGTTCCCCTTTCTCCCCTACCTTCCCCTTACCCTCCTGGTATTGCTACTTTCATTATTGATCCTGATGGGTTTATCAGTCCTGGATTCCTGTGTTTCCAGCTCTGATATGTACCACTGTACATCCTCTGGTCTACCCAGATTTGTAAGATAGAATTGGGATCATGATAGTGGGGGAGAGGGAGCATTAAAGAACTGGAGGAAAGTTGTATATTTCATCGTTGCTACACTGCACCCTGACTGGCTCGTCTCCTCCCCGTGACCCTTCCATAAGGGGATGTTCAATTGCCTACAGATTGGCTTTGGGTCTCCACTCTGCACTCCCCCTCATTCACAATGATATGATTTTTTTTGTTCTTTGATGCCTGATTCCTGATCCCTTCGACACCTCATGATCACACAGGTTGGTGTGCTTCTTCCATGTGGGCTCTGTTGCTTCTCTGCTAGATGGCCACTTGTTTATCTTCAAGCCTTTAAGACCCCAGATGTTATATCTTTTGATAGCTGGGCACCATCATCTTTCTTCACCACATTTGCTTATGCACCCGCTTTGTCTTCAGCGATCATGTTGGGAAGGTGAGCATCATGGAATGCCAGTTTAATAGAACAAAGCGTTCTTACATTGAGGGAGTACTTGAGTAGAGGCCCAATATCCAAGACTATCTCTTTACAAGAGTAGAAAGTCAAATCTTTCTCCCTCAGAGAACTGCTGATCCTGTGGTTAGACCATGAAAAATCCCAACAAGACTAAGACCAAACCAACAGCAGGTTGAAATACCAAAAACAAAATCCATTTACCCATTTTCTGCAGGCCTACGTCTCTCCTTCCTGACAAGGAGTAGCTGTAGGAAAAGAGGACCTCACCTGTCACTTGGCTCGGTTCCTTTGCTGTCAAAAACAATGGGAGTGTCTGCCCAGGACACAGCCGCCGTCCAGATGATGCCAAACCAGTGCCCCACTGGAACACGATGCCACTGGCTTCCCCCAATGGAGCAAAGGAGCAAACAGAGAAAATGTACATCAGGGTGAGACCACATTGTTCTTTGAACCTGACTGTTACAGGAGATCACCAATTCATCCTCAGTGGACACGAGTATAACGAACAGACGCATTGCTTCAAGGGAGGGCCTGAGACTGGTCACAGAGATTACAAACAAATTAAAAATCTTATCTGCGAGCAAGGCAGTCTAAGACCCACAAAGAAAACTCCAATGTACTAAAACGTCTTCCAACACATCCCAGGACACTCCTCCAGATGTAAGTCACTGGAATGACACCTTGTTCGCATTGACGCTTCGAGGACAACTCAAGACTCCAGTCTAAGCCTTAAAGAGCCTTGAAGACCATCAAGACCACCCTGCACATTCACTAGCTTTGGAAACAGAAGCCTTTAGGAGGATGTGATTTGCCTCGGGTCACACAGGGAGTCATTAGCAGACGAAAGACTAGGACTGACTCAGTTCTCCTGACCCTTAAGGAAGTGCCCTAGCCACTACATCAAGAGAAGGTTTCGAACCACCACATAAACACAAACACACAATCGCAAAACAGCTTACCACCAGCCTTGTCATCTTAGTGGAATGGGTTCTTGTTCCCACATCCACTAGATCTAATGTGCATACCCATGTTCTGAATGCCATTCAAATGTCTTGATGAAATGTTACGTATTTTCTCTACAATTAGATGTATGCAACTAGGACCAATTCCCCTCCCGCAATATTGGGGCTCATCACCTATGGGAGGAGTATGTTACCTCCTATAGCCAGTGATCTAGGCAGTAAATAGACCACCCTCCTTTGGGAGAAATAAACTATAATACCTGAGCACAATGTGAGCTGAGCAAATTGTAATGAAACCAAACTTACAATCTTTGCCACAAATCAAGGAAAGGGGAAGAAGAGAGAGGAAAAGCTACTATGGACTAAAAGTCACTCGGAAACGTTTGTGCCATGAAAGACCGCATCAAGAAAGTGCAGAGACAACCCATACAATCAAGTGTGGGGGTGCCATGTAACTGATGAGTTTAATATCCAGGATCTATTTTCAAAAACTCCTACCGCTCAACAGCATAAAAACACACAGACCTACTGAAAATTGGGCAAAGACCTTGAATTGATACTCCAACAAAGAAGATGCATAAATGATCAATAGGCACTTAAAAAAGATGTTCAAGTTCATTAGCCATTACTTGTCGCTGCCAAGTTATTCCAGCTCCAAGGAAACCCACGTCAAAACCACAATGACACCCTACTGCACACCCACTGGGGGTGTACCATGAGGAAGCCTGAAAGTAAAAGTGGTGGCAAGGACGTAGAGAAGTGGGAATCTTCACCCCTCACCAATGGCTGGAGGAAAATGGCTGTTGATTCCTCAAAAAGTTAACGAGAGGGTGATCATGTGGCCCTTCGTTTCACTCCTAGGTAGATACCCCAAAGACTTCAAAGGAGGTTGTGCAAGCAGATACTCGTACATCCACGTTCACTGTAGCATTATTCGCAATGGCCAAAAAGTGGAAACAAACCAAATGCCCATCAAGAGATCAATAAGCAAAATGTGGTGTGTCCAGATAATGAAATATTGTTCGGTCAAAAAAAATGAAGCTCTGATATATGCTACAACATGGCTGAATTTGGAAAGCATTATACACTAAGTGAAATGAACCACATAAAATTATATGATCACATTTATATGAAATATCTAGACTAGGCAAATGCATAGAGAAAAAAAGTTTATGACTAGTGACTACCAGGAATTGGGGTAAGGAAGTGCAGAGAGTTTATTGCTTAATAAGTACTGAGTTTCTGTTAAGAATGATGAAATGAAATATTCTTAAAAATAGTGGTTACAGATACACAATATAATGAAGGTAATTAACATCACTCAATTGTACATTATACACACACATTTACATACATGCATACACATATATGTGATATAGACACATACAGCTCATTTTTACCGCAAAAGAATTTTTTTTAATGTTTGTTTAGGGAATTTCTGATCAACCAAATGTGAAAACCTTATTCAGATATTCATTCAAGCAAATGAAAATACATATATAAGCACATAGATACACTTTTTTTAAACAATGAGGAAAATTGACTTGAGGATGCTTCCCAACGTTTGTGGGGAAATGGGACGAAGAGAGAATAACACTTTCCCATGTACGTCTCAAAGCTCCCTCATATCGGATGGTACCAAACCAAACCAAAACCCACCACCATCAAGAAGATGCCCCTGAGAGCAACACTGCAGGACGGAGTAGAACTGCTCCCTATGGCTTCCAAGATTGCCAGTCTTTATGCACCAGACAGCTCCTTCTCTCTCCCACAGAGCAGCTGTGGGTTTGAACTGCCAGCCTCACAGTGAGCAGCCCAACGCTTAACCCACTGTGCCATCAGAGATCCTCGTATTGGATGATATTACAGGTTATTATGTTGTTTGAGGTATGATCGATTTTATTATGGTACCCAAGAAAGTCTGTACGTTTTAGAGGTGAATCAAAAGATAGTCACTGATTAATGGCAGCGGCTACTTGCCACTAGCTTAGCCAAACACATAGCGGGACTGTGCTGCTTTGGAACCGGGCCTCTGGAAATGCAACATAAGACCAGCATTGACAGAAATTGGTAGAAAAGGGGGAGTAATGTCATACAATCCCCTTGTCCTGCTGATTTCTAAAAACAGCTGCTGCTTAGAAAAGTCTAATCACTACCATCCAACTTAGCAGTCACACTCCTGGGTATCTACCCCAGAGAACTGAAAATGGATGTTCACATAAAAACCCATCTGCCATGTTTATAGCGCTTTAACCACAACAGCCCTCCCGATTCCACATGAGATTCATTCTTAAAGGCCTTGAGGGCCAATGTAAAGGTGAATCAGGACAGGTGCACGCAGTTCTTTCTTAGCCTTAACTTTAGTTCAAGAAAAGCCCACAGGCTAGCCTTTTCAGAGATCTAAGAAACCTACGATGTGCAGCAAGTGAAAGTAACTGTGACAGAGGATTTGTGGTGACTATGGGCTGGCGCATTGCTTCAAAGTGAGGGCCATTTCCATACCCGTAAAGGACAGCTAAGGGTTATCCGGACAACAAACACTAGTGATGCAGAAATGCACTGAAGCCAAAACACTGGACGCAGCCCGGTGCCCTTGCAATGGTGGGTCGTTAAACAATCTCTGGTACATCCATTCCATGAAGCACACTCAGTCATAAAAAAGAAACAAATTATTGATAACCCTAACTCGACTGACTCTCCGGGGAATTATGCTACGTGAAAAAAAGCCAATCCTAACATGTCACGTACTAAATGGTTCCACTTTGGGAATGACATCATAGAGCCAGAGAAGGGGCTGAGGAGAACGATGGTGTTGGCGAGGAATACTGAAAGTACCATGGGCTGCCGGAAGAACAAGCAAATCTGTCTTGGAAGACACCCAGCTGTGAGTTAGACCCGACTCGACCGTACCTAACAACCACAAGTGGAGAGAATAAGGAGCCTGCTGGTGTTGTTGGGCAAGCATTGGGCAGCTAACCACAGGGCTGCAGTTTGAGTCCACAGGTTGCTCCACATGAGAAGGATGGGGCTGTCTGCTCCCACAAGGATTTCCAAAGCCTCGGAATCCCTGTACAGGGTCACTGGGAATCTGAATCAAGGCGATGGCAGTGGTTTGGCTGACTGCTTGGTTGGTGTGAACAGGGTGGAAGGGAAGGATACAACAGGGCAGCAAGAGGGATCTCTGGGGAGATGTCAACATCCTGGTTTAATATTAAACTATGGTTTTGCAAGATGCTGCCATTGGAGGGAACTGGGAAATGGGGCCTGGGATATCTCAGCATTCAACTGTATTTGCATCTATAGTTAGCTCAAATTAAACGTTTAATTTAAAAAAGTAATCGATGCTAACCCCAGGAGACCGTGCTGCACTCTTCCACACCTCCTGTCCCCTGTCCACTTGACAACCGGACTCACTCACCAACCACTTGGGCCTCAGCTGCCATAGCCAGTTAGTGCTGTCCTCCAACCCCACGGGAGTGAGAGTAGAGACACGACGAAGGGAGAGAGCAAAGGGTTGCTGCTCTTCCACCCAACGCCACTCTACCCCCTGCCACACAGGCCGCGGCTCACCACCTCAGTCCTGGTGCAGAAGACGGGGACACCAGCAGCTTCCTAATAGGCACTGAACGTTAAAACAAACAGCAGAAGCCACTAGGATGCCGGCAAAGAACATGGACCTTGGACCCAAGCTCTCTTTCTCACTACCTTCCTCACTGTGTAACCCTGTGATAGGTAGGTTTATTGTGCCAACTGGCCAATAAGAACATGTGGGATTAATAAGATAGCAGTTTGATTGGAGGGCAAAGAGATAAATGTATCGGCAGGCCCTGCCTATCTCTCTCTTTTGGCCTCTGGTGAATGGATCAGTGTGCGGCTGCCTTAGCTAGTTCTCTAACTCAACTTGCAAGCTACACTACCTGTGGGACACCCAACCCGTGGACCCTGTCACTAGAGCTTCAGGTTCTTTCGAGATCTGCATCGCCATGCTGCTGGTGTGTACATCACTTGAGCTGGGGACTGTCAGATCCTATCACCTGGCTGACTGTTGGTGACCCGCCCTGCTGTTGACTCAGCTGTCAGCTTCCTTGACCTTGGACCCAGCAGCCCTTGTGAGTTGAAGGACTTCCAGTATATTAACTGTTTCATGGAAGTGAGTTGAACTGCACCCTCTGTACTCCTGTGTGGACTGTTATATTCCTTTGTGGTGTGTGTGTGTATATGAAATCATAAATGTCCTGGTTTTGTTTCTCTAGAGAACCCTGTCTAACACAACCCCTACAGAGAGCTCCCACGGACCTCAGTTTCCTCATGTATAAACATTAAACTCGAATTGCAGCATGTAAATTGGGTATTGAAGTCAAGAGAGCAAGAGCCTAGCACTGAGCCTAGATCACAGAGAAGGGCTGGAAAAGCTTGCCTCCCCCCTCCCTACTCCCCCACACAATCTGTCCTCTGCCCTCTCCTTTGACATCAGAGCCGCAACGCAGCGGGACTCTTGAAGGAATGGCTCCTTCAGGTGGCTTTCTCCCGAAACGCAGTCTCTCCTTGTTGCCAGCCTACTGAAGAAACAAAAGCCGAATGCTCACCTGTGGCAGCTAACGCATGCCTCAGTCCAGCCGCCACACTCACAACCGTCTCTCTCAGGAGCTGTCAAGAGACAAAGCATTCAGATCTTAGAATCCTCCATCCACAAAACGTTATCTATGGCCAACTACAATGTAGCCAGGTCCCCATCCTGTGTCTGATTGACCTACAGAGGTTTTTGTTGTTTTCCTACTTTACCCAAATACTTTTTGTTTAATCATTCTATTGGGGGTTCTCACAGCTCTTATCACAATCCATACATCCATCCACTGTCTCAACCACATTTGTACATACGTTGCCATCATCATTTCCATAGCGTTATCTTTCTACTTGAGCCCTTGGTATCAGCTCATTCCTGCCCCCACCCCCCACCCCCATGAACCTTTGATAATGTATAAATTTTTATTTTTCATGTCTTAAACACAGACTGCTATCTCCCTTCACCCATTTTTCTGTTGTTTAACCCCCTGGGAGGGGATTATATGTAGATCATGGTGATTGGTTCCCCCTTCCTCCCCCCAACCCTCCCCTTACCAAATACTTCTACATGCATCCCTAAAAGAACCACGCCTTTAAAAAGCATAACAAGATGTACCACTGTGCCTCTCGGGGCTGGGAGGGACCTTTTGAGATCCTCCAGCCCAGGGTTGGCAAACTTTTCTGTAAAGGGAAAAGTGAGTAAATATCTTAGACATTATTTGCCATCTGGCTGCTGGCACAACTCCTCAACACTGCCTCAGGAGCCTATAAGCAGTTACAGACAGGCAGGCAGACCTCAGCAACATTGCAGGTTCAATTCCAGGCAGCATCAACAAGGCGAGTATCACAATGAAACCTGTCCCATGAATGTTTTGGTTTCCCAGGGCATAAACAGTTATGCTTACATTGTATTCTATTGAGTGTGCCACAGCATTATTAAAAAGTCCAAAATGTGGTGAGGATAACTACAACGGGACGGAGACATGAAGCAAGCATGTGCTGTTGGGAAATTACTTGCTCGGTAGACTTGCTGAACGCCGGGCAGCCACAAACCTGACATTCAGAAATCACAAGGTCTGTGACTCTCAGCGAGGTATGATACAACGGGATACGTCTGTACATAAACAAATGGGGTGGCTGTGTCACGACATGCCTCTATTTATGAAGAAATGACAGCCCCTGGTTTAATTCAGTCCCCATCCAATGCCCAGACCCCTCCACACCACCACACCAGTGGTCATCCATCCAACCTCTTCCAAACACCTGGCTCCAGCGACACAAGGCTGGGGCACGCTTCCCTGGTGTCTGCCCCACTTTTCTCAACAACAACAAAAGGATCACTGCCATCGAGTCAATTCTGATTCATACACAGTTCCATTTGCCTCCTTGGAGGAGACAAATCTGTCTGCCCATAGCTTCTGACGATGCTTCCCGATACCTGATGACAGTTATCATATCCTACCCAAGACATCCCAAGTTTTAAAAAGACAGCCTCAGATTCTCAAATACTCTCCCTCTCTGAGTGAGGAGCTTAACCCATGCCCCAAGCCACCTTGAACATGCAATGGACTTAGTGACTTCATTTCCGATGACTACAATAAGGAGGTATGGCTAAGAGACACGGTAAGCAAAGGCACCGAGGCTGCCTACCTGGCCTCTGTCTGTTGGACCGCACTTGGGGGAAGCCACCTGCCATGTCTGGATAGTTGTACGGAGAGACCCACCAGTAAGGAACTGAGCCTCTGCCAATATGCACGGGAGAGAACTTGAAAGGGGGAACCCCGGCCCAGCGAAGCCTTCAGAAGAACGCAGAAGCCCCAGGGACCAGCTTCACTGCAACCTCACGAGACTAGCTAAGCTGTTGCCAGATGCCTGGCCTTCAGAAACCGTGTGAAATAAAAACTGTGTGTTGCTTTAAGCTACTAAGTGTTAAAAGTACTTTGTTGCACAGTAACAACTAACTAGTACCTATCTCTTCTTCGGGCCAAGCATCCTCATCTGCATCTCCCCAGTGGTTGCAGGGTTTCCTGGCCTCAGCATCCCAGTTCATTGCCTCTATGTTCTAATTCATCCATCTCTCTTTTCAGAGGACCGGACACTCACTGTGGGACTTTATCATGCTGGTTTGTTGATGGGTCCGCAGTCTCTAGCGTGACTCCATTCATATGAACTACCCGAAATGCCAGACACACCAAAGCAGGTGAGTGGTCGTCATGCGCTGAGCAGTGCAGGGAGGAAGGAGGACTGACTGCTAATGAGAATGGAGTTTCTTGTGGTGATGAAACTGTACTTTTCACAAATGATGGGTCCACACACAGAACGCACATAGCACCCTTGAAAAATAATGCACAAGGGGACTGTTGGTTGGCAAAAACAACCGCATGCACATTACTTATGTATGCACACGACTGATAATCGTTAGCGTCAAATCTCTGTGGATATTACACACTTTGTAAGAGTAAACTTTATGGTATGTGAATCAATCTCAAAAAGAGTCAGTTTCACCAGCTTTTCTTTTACAATGTTCGAAGGCGCTCCTAGGAAATTGCTCATTACCTACGTGGCTTGCCTTTCCCTGCTCCTGGGCGGACTGGTCTGTACCGTGTGTAAGGCTTCGTGTCTTTAGGTGAGTCACTTCTCTCTGGACCTGCTGCTAACGTGATGATTAACTACTAACTTTAGAACTGAAAAATGTGTCTTTCATTTTCTGCCTTGCAAAAATAAACAGAAGTGTGGGTGAAGGGAGATAATCGGCAGTGTAAGATACGAAATAACAATATAGAATTGATCAAGGATACATAAGGGTGGGAGGGAAAGGGGGGGGAGAGGAGCTTATACCAAGGGCTTAAGTAGAAACTGTTCTGGAAATGAAGATATGCTTGATACAACTGATGTATGGAATGTCGTAAAAGCCCCCATATATATACATATGTATATGTATATATACTACCAGAAATGTTCCCAGGGTTCCTTCATAACACCCAACACCCAACCCAAATTTTCCACGAAGGACCTACGTTTTCTCAACCCAAATTCTCCTAGCTCCTGGCTTCTCTGGGACTAAGTCAGGCTAGAGAAAAATGGTGACATGATTCTTGGGAAATACAATGACCACTCTAACATTCAGCCCACATGGAAGATAACACTGCAGCTTTGACCAAGAGGCTCTCATTAACAGGACCCAGGCCAGCTCAGTATCAGGTGCCCTCCCAATCTCATCGACACAGTGCTGCCACGATGGCTCAAGCAAAGAAATGATCGGAAGGACAGGGCAGTGTTTCATTTTATTGTGCAGAGTCACTATGGGTCAGAACTGACTCGACAGCAATTGTGTCTGTTAGATAATTTCGTGTCAACTCAAAGATACATAAAAGTGTAGGGGTGGTATCCAACCTGTCAATCAGGTCAGTCTGAAGGTGCCTCCTAGTGGGGGCCTGGCCTTCTCATAAGGAGGGCCCAAGGAACCTCCCTCTCTCTCGGCTTTTTGCTTGCTGCTTGGTGACCACCCTAAGAGCTGCCGGGGCCCTGTCATGCTTCCGCTGAACTTGGATGCACCCCCCAGCCTGCGATCTCCCTGCATTCTGCATCATTGCATGTGATCGAGTGAGTCTGAAGAGAGACTTAGGGACTAGTATTGGAACTCGGGAACTTGAGTTGGACTCTTCTGGGATGTTTTCTTGATATGTAATTACTTCCTAATATAAAGCTCTTTCTTAGACGTGCTACACTTGATCTTAGCCAAAAGACCGAGAAGCGATCTTTCTTATACATGTGTGAATGTCACTGCATTTGTTTCTCTAATCAACCCAGCCTAACCCAGCCCCTGACAACAACAACAACATCCCAATCACAGGAGCACTGGTGCCACGGAGGTTAATCACTCAGATGCTAATCAAAAGGTGAGCAGTTCAATGCCCTGGTAGAAAATGTGGCAGTCTCCTTCCATAGAGAGTTACAGCCTTGGAAGTCCCACGGGGCAGTTCCACTCTGTCCTAAACTGCGTAGGAAACCACTTGACAACAATGGTGTAGGGCTGCTAAACGCAAGGTCAGCTGTTCAAACCCACCAGCCACACAATGCTTTCCATGGGAGAAAGATGATATTTTCTGCCCCCAAAAGATTTACAGCCCTGGAAACTCAGAGGGGCTGTTCGCGTCAGAACTGACGTGATGGCAGTGAGTTTGGGTTTGGGTTTGGGTTTATCCTTACCTCGATGGCCTGGGGAACCACACATCTTTGAGGTCCATGAGGAACTCCGAGTTGACCAAACAAGTTGGATCCGCACGACAGAACTTGACCACTTTCTGCAAAAAGTAATTACTTACATTGCAAATCTACAGTAAACATTCACTCATTCTGTGAACAATGAGTACATGCTGACGGATGAGAGGAGCCAAAGAAAGGAGAGAAGGTAGTGGGGTCCCTCTGTTTCAGGGTATTCAAGCCACATTCTCTGTAAAATAGTGCAGTGCCTTGTGTTGGGCGGGGAGGTTACTTATTCCACACTTTTCATATTTCCATTTCTTGACAGTTCTAATATTGCAGCATGCCCGGCCTTTCTCCCTGATCTGTCCACGTCCTCACTGCTTTCTGCAGAAAGAGGAATAACCTCACCCGTTGGTGAGTTTGGAATGAGGAACAAGATACGGTGTTCTGGCACCTTCCTCGCTCCTTGCCTTGGGTCTGCCTTTACAGAGCAAGCTTTCTGGGTGGGCACACAGGAAAGATTTCCCCCTGGAGAAGGCCAAGAGTTTGGGGAGTGACTTTGGATCGGGGGAGTGTTAGCAGAATTAGCACTGTCCTCCAATTTCATTTTAGCTGTAAAAGCCCAAGAGAAGCTTGTCATAAATGAAAGCCATTATTCGGATTCTAATAATCATTATTAAATTTGACAGACATTACAGAACACCTCAACAGGGTCTTAAAGAAGAAGTAAGAGTTCCTCACATAGACAAGATGGGCCATTCCAAAAAGAGGGCACCACACGCTAAACGAAACTCTCTGCTAGAGAGCCAATTCCAACTCAGCGCAGCCCTAGCGGACGCGGTGGAACTGCCCCTGTGGGTTTCCAAGACGATAACTCTTAGGGGGAGTAGAAAGCCTCATCTTTCTCCTGCGGATGGGCTGGTGGTTTTGAACTGCTGACCTTGTGAATTGGATTGGTTTGGGGTTGCAGAAGAGAAATGCATGAGAGTTTGGGGAATAAAAAACAAAGCAAAGGAAGTGGGTAAAGTAGTTACGGAAAGCTGAGTGCTAAAAAGCTTGGCATTTGAGTTATATACATGAGAAACCACACACGTCTGGAGCAAGGGAGTGATATGGTCATGATCATCTGATGCCCTTGCCAGAAGCCAGAGATGGTCCTTTAAATCCAGAATGGATAACAAGAAGAGGTAAAGCCAGGCAAAGAGTTTAAACCGTTTTAAGGGAGAAGGCAGCTGGCGAAGTAACTAGTATTGCCAAGGATACTCCAACTACTCCCAAGAACATATTCTTCACCATCCTCTCTGCTGTCTGGCTCACAGAGACCAAAGAGTTCTACTCAATAAGTACCATGCTCACTCCTCACTTATTGGCATGGTTAGATGCCAAAGATCAGGAGTTAGATACAAATTGACGTTATATAAAAGTGGAAGATGGTGATAAACAAGCGGCCAACTAGCTCAGAAGCAACAAAGCCCACATGGAAGAAACACCCCAGCCTGTGTGACCACGAGCTGTCGAAGGGATCAGGTATCAGGCATCAAGGAACAAGAAATCATGTCATTGTAAAGGTGGGTGAGTGCAGAGTGGAGACTCAAGAGTCCATTGGTAGGCAACGGAACACCCCCCTGCTGAGGGGATGTGGGGAGGAGCTAATCAGGTGCAGGGTAGCAGTGATGAACCATATAACTTTCCTCTAGTTCTTGAATGCTTCCTCCCCCCCCCAATATTATGGTCCCAATCCTGCCCTGCAAATCTGGCTAGACCAGAGGATGTACATTGGTACAGATGGCAACTTGAAACACAGGGAATCCAGGATGGATGACTCCTTCAGGACCAGTGGTGAGAGGGGCGATGCCTGGAGGGTGGGGGGAATTGTGGGGGGAAAAAGGGAACCAAATTACAAGAATCTAGGTATGGCCTCCTCCCTGGGGGGTGGACAACAGAGAAGAGGGCAGAGGGAGACGTCAGACAGCGTAAGTTATGACAAAACTATAATAATTTATGAATTATGAAAGGTTCATGGGGAGGGGGGAGAGGGGGAGGGAGAAAATGAGCAAATGATATTAAGGGCTAAAGTGGAAGGCAGGTGTTTTGAGATTGATGAGGGCAACAAATGTACATATGTGCTTGACACAATGGACTGTGATGCGAATTGTACGAACCCTCAATAAAATAATTTTTTTTAAAAAGTGGAAGATGGTCACATCAGATCACAAAATGGAATATAATTACATAGTTTCACAATTGTCGAATTTCATCATTACATAACTGTCAAACCACTATGAATCATGGCCCAGCCAAAATGACATATAAGGCTAATCATCTCAGCTAGCATTATTCTTGCCTTGCACCTTGGTGTTCATTACTGCCAGACATCCATCATTAATGTAAACACAAAACGTCAAATAATGAGACAGTTGATATGTAAGGAGTGGAGGGAGGCACTAAGAAAACAATCACTCATTGGGGAAAATAAACCTGCTACCACTGCCCAGACAATCTCTAAATTCCTCAAGCTTCCCCACCACAATATCCTACTCTTTAGCTAGCACTGCTCACCAGCTAAGCAACGCACATGGCTTTCATGAGACAGGTAGAGGCAACCAAGGATGACCTAGTCCATCCCTGTCTCTAGAACAAGTTCTGTAGTCCAATACTCTTTACTGCTAAGCATCTCCTTGCAAAAGGCACCACCCCACTGTTGTGCTTAGCCACCAGAGAGATCATTTGTAGGGTGTTTAAACAGAGTCAGCACCATCACGTTCTTCTCACCCAAAGCCTTCATGTTGATACTTGGGTGTGAACTCACCTGTGAGTATAATGGTAAAATCCCAGCCACAGGCCACCTGTTGGACAGGACAGCCAAGGAGGGAGGTGCAAGGGGTAAAATACAGGACATCATCTGTGTGGCCAAGTCCCAGCTGCCCCTCTTTGTTCAGGCCACAAACCAAAAGACCTCCTCCATCTGTAAAACATAAAGGTCTTGGTGACGAGTGAGCATCGGGGAAATGACAACAGCAGAAAGATATCACTCCTTATTTGGAGAGGGTAATAACTTTTCTCTCAACTCAAATTAATCAGCCATGTATGTTAAGGTGCTCGGGAAAGAAATGGGGTTCAAATGTAAGCTCTAAACGGAAAGAAATGGGGTTCAAATGTAAGCTCTAAATGGAAAGGCTCAGTCCTGGAGCAATTCACCAATCACCAAACTGGATGTCTCCTATAACAACACAGGCCAACATAACCGGACACTTAGAATATGCCAAGTACTGTTCTAACAGCCAACTTCTCTTTTAGGCAAACTGCCCAGGACCCACACTACTCTTAAGGGTCCATAAAAATGTTTTCATTTTAATCTCTTGGAAAACAAGATGGGAAATATAATCATCCTGAATGCAGAATAACAAACCCAGTCTGGCTTCTGCTCATCTTTATGCCAAAGCATAAATACTATTTGCTATGGAGGAGGGGTTCACAAAAGGCAAAAGTGTCGAGGGTCATGACGGGCGAGTCATGACGCCACCCGGCTAACTCATGGGCCCCGCTCCACTATTATTATGCCCGTGTCACAAGTGAAGAAAGCATGACACAGAGCAATTCGGATACTTTCCCAAGGCCACAGAGCCGTGAAATCACAGCGCTAAGCAGTTTGATTCCAGAAATGGAACTCTTAGCCAGGATGCAATATGCCCTCCTTCCCAATACAGTAGCCCTGGTAGGTTAAAGGAATGAGAAACTCTTGTTCTTAAGGAATGTTCCATCTAACTGCAGAGACTTCTAACTCCCACATGAAAGTTAGACAGCAACTGGTGGTGCTGTCATCTGGGTGCCCCATGTGACAGAGCAGAGCAACCACACCTGGTGTTCAAGGCTTTGTGGGAGAAGACTCCTAAGTGTTTCTTGCTCGGGAAAGCCTTACACTACCAGGACTCCATTAAATAGCAATATGTGCTATAAAATGTGATACATGTAGCAGCTCTGCTACAAAGACGATCAGTCTTACTAGCTTCATGTGTATGAGAGTGAAGGCCTAGGAGAGCTCTCAGGTCCTCCTAGCTCAGAAAACCCAGGATACTCTGATGACAAACACAGCCCTTTCACTTTCTCTCTCTCTCTCATGAGCAAGTATCTACTCTTGACAGAAGTTACCAGTGACAACCGCAGAGTGGCCTCCTCCTCCTGTGATCCTCCTCACACACCCAGGTTCACAGAAGTCACTCAGCCGCTGGGGCAAAAGCACATCCTCCTTATGGCCCAGGCCAAGTTGCCCATAGCTGTTTGCACCCTAAGGAGAAAATAAACCAAAGATGAAAGAGTTTGGGGACCACAGCAAGTAACGTTTTCATATGCATCCTGATCTGCTCAGCCTGACAGACCTCTTAAAGAGTCTATAGCAAATGAGACTTCACAGCAGGTCAACCCCTGGTTGCTAACCAAAGGTCAGTGGTTCAAACCTACCAGTGGCTCTGTGACAGAAAAGCCTGGCGATCAGTTCTGGTAATGAGTACAGTCAAGGAAACCCTATTCAGCCGTTCTCTCTGTCCTTGCAAGACAGACAGACTGGCTATGAAAGAGCTTGGTAACCTGATGGTCAGGTCATTAAGAGAATCAACTCCATGGCACACGACAGCATCTGATTTTTTGTTCTTTGATGCCTGATACCTGATCCTTTTGAGACCTCGTGGTCACATAGGCTGGTGTGCTACTTCCATGTGGGCTTTGTTGCTTCTGAGCTAGATGGCCGCTTGTTTATCTTCAAGTCTTTAAGACCTCAGACGCTATATCTTTTGATAGCCGGGCACCATCAGCTTTCTTCACCACATTTGCTTATGCACACGTTTGTCTTCAGTGATCGGATCAGGAAGGTGGGCACCCACTGATATGATTTTTAGTTCTTTGATGTCTCAGGAACCCTAGGGAGCAGTTCTACTGTGCCCTAGAGGTTGCCATGGGTTGAAATCTACTGGAGGGGATTGGGGGGGCAGGAAGTAAACATCTGGGAAGCACAATAATTAAGCACTCAGCCACTAACTGAAACAAAAGGTCAGCAGTTCAAACCCATCAGCCACTCCATATGAGACAAGACCTGGTGGCTCTGTCCTAAACACTCAGTTGCTAAAACAAAAAGTCAACAGTTCAATCTCACCAACCACTCCCAGAGACACAATCTGCTCCCCTAAAGATTCCAGCCATGGCCCCCCTGTGGTGTAATTCTCCTCCCTCACTAGCAGTAGGAACAGACAGCATACAACAGTGACAAACATCTTGAGGGAAGTACACAACACCAGCACTCTGGCATTCAAATTGTGGCCCCAGATTCTGTAATGCAGCTGAAAAGCCCTCATTCCAGGTTGCAGGAGAACTTAACACAATATAATACAACTTGAACTACAACTGTAAGTGCCTGCCTCCCTTACAAATATTCCCAACACACCACATTGTGCGCAGGACACTCACAGAGGTAAAACCCCCTCTACACCCAGGGCACAGCAGGAAGAATCCATCATCAGACCTCCCCGGCCAGCAGTGGCTCAACAGTATGTCCATTTCAGTCCAGACACGGCCTTACAGACGCAGCCTCCCAGCTGGGAAAAGCCAAAAGGCAGCGCCCACGCCCACCAGCAGGCACATAATCACGTCCCACGTCCACAGCTCCAGGCACATAATCACGTCCCACGTCCACAGCCAGCTCAAGAGCTCCCTCAAGGCTCAGAAACCCATGCTTCCTCGGATCACCCCAGGCTCTCCCTCTGCCAAGCTGTCACCTCCCATTCAACGAGTGCTGCCTTGTACTGCTAATTATCTTTTTCTTTCTTTCTGTTTAATCCCTCAATGAAGTGACGTTAACGATGACACAGGTGTTACTCCTCCCGTTCCCCCTCCCCCCAACTCCCTACCCCGCCATAGGAGCTGAATGTCTCTCACTTTGAGTATTTCCCAAAAGAACAGCACCTGTTCGGACACACAGCCGGTAGCCACTCATTCATTCATTCCTCAACAAATACTTACTGAGCACCTGCAGTGTGCTAGGCAGCAGAGACGTAGTGTGCGAGACAAGCACACATAAGCCCCGCCCTCATGACGCTCACATTCAAATCGGAGAGACAGGCATTAACAAATTATACCTGTCATCACAACGGTGCGAAGTGCTAGGAAGCACTCCGGGACGCTACGTCTGCAGGTACCCGCGCGCGCTTGTTGGTCACCTGCCACACGCTCCCGTGCACACTCAGAAAGACGATCCTGTCTCTCGGTGCACACCAACACAGCCCAGACGCCCACACCCCCACAATCCAGGCAAGATCTGTTCACAGCACAGTAACCAGCCAATATGCAGGGTCTCCGCCGGGGTAACGGCGCTCGAGCACCGCAGGCCTAGCGTCCAAAAGCGCTCCCTCGAGCCTGGGCTGGGTCTGGGGCAGGGCCTCCATCATCCAGGCAGTGGGAAGGTGGGGGCTACCGGGGGCTCCCTCGGGGCTCTGAGGCCCGCGAGGCTGTTGTTCCAGGAGCTCTCGGGGCCCGAGGTTCTGCAGGAACCACACGCTCTGCCCTGGAGGCACGTTCTTCTCGCTGCCTCTCGGCCCCTCGGGTCCAGACCCCACCAGATGACAGGCTCCCACGTCACCCTGTGCAGACCCTTCCCGCACAGCCTTCTCATCCTCAGCCCGGGATCCTCGAACTCGGAGCCGCGTCGGGACCTCGGCCTCCCTGGCCCCATTCCGCCCCCGCCCAGACGTGGAGATCCTCGCGCCCCCGCGATCCAGCGGCCGGGAACCGGGGGCGGAGTCACGTACCCAGGCGAAGAGCGCGGCGGGGGCGGCCTGAGAGGAGCGCGGTGAGAGCTCCATGCCGGGACGCTGCGCTGCGCGGCCGGAAGGGGCCGGCGCGGGGGCGGAGCC